AATTGAAGCTTCCTGTTTCGATGAAATATTGCCATAATATATGAAGGTTTGTTGTTAATGATCCTGCGAGATGTTTTCTGAACGAATTTTCCAATTTTAACCAATTAAAAGGATCTGCTAATCTTATTGGAGGGTTTCCAACTATTTTTCATTTCCGGCGTTCGAAAGTCATCTCGAGAAGGTAGTTGAGATTGGACAAAGACGTCCTGTCGATCACGAAAATGCGATATATATTGCGTTCTTTCGAAACTACAGGACCGGCTCAGACCGCTTAGGTACATTGAAATTAGCACCTAATACTACTCACTACATTTTTATTCGCCCCCATCATTTAAAGAGTTTGATGCAGGCAATTTGTACGATTTGTAACAAACACAGTGGGTGGATAAATTCGTGGAAATCGGTCCTGGAAGTGCGTGGAAATAACATCGATCGAGAGTCCGAAGAGGAAACGCCATCCCGAAAGTGAAAGCGCCCCTTTTTTCGTTCAGACTGAAGCAGGAAAAGGGAAAACAGGAGACCGTAATTACGTTTTCCTGCGATCGCTCTACGCCTGCATATGATGTTGATGACGCGTTTCTTTGCCGAAAAAAATGAGCCTCTATGTATGTTAAGGATGTGTTAAAAGCTTTTTTTTTATTCGTAAATTTAGGTGCTTTATAAGTTTTCTTTTTGAATTGATGGGGGTGATTAATTTTAAATTGATCAAAAATTCGATCAGTTCTGGACCACCCTGTAGTTGTTTTGACATCAATTAAATAAATAAATCATTGTAATTTTCTGTTAATATTGTTTTAAATTAGTTGTTATCGATAAACGATATTTCCTCCCTGGGTAATCGAAAAATAAAAGGGAGCAATTAATGTACCAATTACGTTCCAATAAAAGCCATTAAAAAGAGTAAACGTTTTCGCCCTGCTAAAATTGCAGCATCATCGAAACAAAATCCAAAAGGGAATATTTTTTTATTTAATACCTAGGTATATACAGGATGAACAAAGTTATTTGTAATGAGAAATATTAAACATGCATTTACAATTTTTCAAAAAGTGTAACAATAATTCAAGTCGAAAGCATCAGGGTAACGGCTCGGAATTAATTCCTGTTGAAACATTTACCGAAGGCCAGGAGAAGAACAGGAAGTGTAAAATAGAAAAAAAATAGCTAATAAAAGGGATTATCGTTTTGTTTCCCCCTTCGCAAAGCGACGTTTCGTATATATAAAAAAAAAACTGTCCGGATCTTACAAACTCGATCTGATAAAGCCATTTTGAGCATCGATAAGTCAACTATAGGGGGGGATTAGCGTTTTTATGACGCAAGTTTTATTGGATCTTTTGTTAGTGTCGTCTCGTTTTTATTAAACGATGCTCGACATAGGTACCGAATTCCTGCAATACCATAAAATTATAATAGGTTAATTTATAAATTATGTTAGTACTTTTATATAGAATTTGTTTTAATGTTATAATCGTTGTAGAATTGGTGCGGTATAAATAGTAGGATTTCTCTATCTGGTAGCTTTTTTTTAGTTTTTCATTAGTACCTAAATGTAGTTCCTTTCTCTAGGAATCTATTATACACAAGATTTAGGTATACACTACAAAAAATGTTACAGAATATTACGTTGGCAATTTTGTTACCTACGTAATATTATGTAATTTTTAAATACGGTATATATACTGTAAAAAATTCTCTTAATATATTCTGGATACACAATTTATACGGTTAAATTACAGAATATATAATGTAATGCATTACATTTTTATGTAAAGTCTCGAATTCCGGTGTAATTTTACAATGTAATTTCAGTATTACCTGTCTAGTTCTGTAATTTTACAGTCTTACATGATAGGCTATGTATTATAGTTATTTACATAATTTATTTAGTAAAACATACATAATAAATTAAGGAAAATTACAGAATTTTTTTTCAGTGTAGGAAGGTACTATTAAACTAGAAAACCTTAACGAATTAGTCTCCTATTTTTACATATAAATCAATGCACCAAACTCCTTATTAAAAAAAAAAAACGAGTACTTTCCCACATAATATAGAGATTACAACGTACTTTGTTTCAAAAGTAATTCGCGAATACAAATGCAAATAGGCGTTATTATACGCGGAAATTCTCGTCTCTTTTGGTCCGTGTGTTTCTCGAGGACCGGTTGATTACGACCGGGGATTTAAGGAAACGTCATCAAAAAAGAAAAAAAGAAGAAAAAGGACTCTAGAAACGGACCATTATGAACGGCTTAATACACGTAATAACGTTCCTTTTTTTTTCTTCTTTCTCTCCTCTCGAAACGTGTCGTTGCCTCGATATATCTTACCGGATTCGAGGCATATAAAAAACGAAACGCAGAATAAGGATGAAATATTTTAATAATACCTAAAGGAAAGGTGTGTTGCAATGGGGGATTACATATTTTATTAGGGAATTATGATGCGAGAGAGAGTTACCTTCATTAGTTTGGTTCAAATTAGCGCTCTACTAATAGATACAACGTTTTAGTAGATTAGAATTAGAATTGAAAAGAAGAAATATTTATTGGCCGCTGAGAAAACTGAAGCCGAACAACCAGAAACGAAAATAAAGCAAAAAACAAATAAAAAAGAAAATAAGAAAAACGATGGAAAAGACGAGAATAAACTACGGGTGACGGGACTATTTTCGAAAAAAAAAATATGTAGGTGAGTTATAGAGGTGGGAACGAAACGGCCAAGGAACTGTCTTCAAAAGAACACAAATTATACATATATCATCATTAATATCTCAAATAAACTACTTACATTCATAATTAAAATGCGCAATCTTGTACCAGGTAGAATTTTTAATCAGTTCCCATCTCTATACGGAAACTCGATCAATCTTTAGAGATGGGAACAACCGATGAACTGTCCTCCAAAGAACACAAATTATTCACGTATCATCATTAATATCTCAAATAAACTACTTACATTCATAATTAAAATTCGCAACTAACCACTATCAAAAAGCGCAAGCTTGTACCAGGTGGAATTTTTAATCAGTTCCCATCTCTATAGGGTAACTCGATCTATCTTCCACAATAGTAACTCGCCGAGTATAGAGAGAGAGAGAGAGGGGGGCAAGGGCGATAGCGGGGAGAACCGGGAAGGGCAAGGGCCCGACGAGAAGTTCGAGCCCTACAGGTGTTTCGTGCGTTTTTGGCACGTTGTCGGGCATTTCCGGTCAACCCTTCGCCCTTCCGGCATTTTTTTATTTTTTTTTTTTTCAACGAGTTAACGCACCGGTTGCTCGATGCAAACGAGTCTGTTGTCCGAAATCAAAGCCATTATGAGCATTTAGCATTAATTAGTTTCGGGAGGCGTTTATGAATGGTAATTAGCCGTGATGATGAGAGTTTTTTTTTATGATTCTTTTTTTTTTTCGTTCGGGTAATTTATTGGGAGTTTGTTTTAATTGCTTTGCATTTATATTAGGCAGATACGTTTTGCTGCAAACGAAGCTAATTGTATGTAATTAGTACAAATTTAATTAAAAATCTGGAAAGAGAAATTAAAGAATAGTGCCCGTTGAAATTAAATACAGTAGGTATTATACATATAAACTGCTCCACAAAAGTTCGCAAATTTAGCGATTATTTTATAAGTTACAGACTTTTTGATCAACAAATTTTCAAATATGCGAAATTAAATATGTTTTCTCTCATATCTGAGTGAATTTTTTGCCCCTTCCTCTACAACTCATATTAAATTAGGCGATCAAAAAACCTGCAACTTTTAAATTAATCTCAATATTTGCGAACTTCCTTAACATTTGTGGAGCAGTTTATAATTAATAATTTTCAAATAATATTCATAAATTATCAGTCGAATTAATTATTTTATGCAGTAGATACACCACTTACATTTTTTTTAATAATTAACAACTTATCTCTATACTTATCGCCATTAATGAGACCTAAACCTCGTCCGCTGCCTTTTTACAGCTTCTAATCGATATCATAAATACGAAAATTAACCGAATTAAACGGTATATACGATTTTAGATAAAGCCACTTAACGAGCGATTACCGCGAAACCAGCTTGTAAATTTAATATCCAACACTCTGTATATATGTAAGAACGGGAGAGAAATGATAAACGAAAAATCATAATCGACTCGACATCTGTCCCGATTCGACCCTGTCAATCGTTCTCGGTGACAGCCCTTTAGCCACAACGACCACCCAAAATCATTCTTTTTGATATATAATTTCACCCTGTCTCATCATCATCGTATCGGGATATTCGCTATAACAGGTATAAAAACAGGAGTAAAGAGTATAGAAATTATAATAGAGAGTATAGCGTGGGATGCTCTCTTGCAACTAATACATTGATTAAAACATTCTTCTATCAACTGTTGTGCCAAAAATCTATTCGGAAGAAGAAGCAAAAAATATCCGATTCACCCCTCGCATATATCCAGCTCCCTTTGGACGAAATCCCTTTCGGAAGTCCCCTTAGGGTCGGGCTGATGTGGGGCGAAACGAGCCTGCAGGATCGCAGGATTAGAAGGACGATTGTCGTCTGCGAGGGACACCAGGTTAATTGGGTTGGACAGTGAGTAAACTTCGAATAGGCGATTAAAGTTATGATAACTCGAATGATTCTGTTTTTGATTTTAAAATTATTAGGGAATTAAAAGTCTTTATGTGAATTGTGCTGTGCAATCTATAAACATGCAATAAACAGCTCATATATCTGTTAGTATATTCATTTGCATCCAGAACTTTTAATGGATTGTTAAAACCATTAATATATTTTATAGGTTCGGCAATAAAATCCCTATTATAAACCTATTTAAATCGATTACTATGTAGTTTCGAAAAGCGTTTATTCTGGTATATGCTAATTTTTATTACGATTATTTTATTAGGATTTACAAGTACGAAAAGAAGCGATAATAGCTTGTAATAGCTCCACCAAACAAAGAATACTCCAACAATAAACCAAAAAACAAAAATGTTACCTGATGGTGGTTTAACCAAACACTGGACGCTGCACCCTTATAGCACACCCCCACAGAAAATTCTTCGCTCGGGTCTCGATCTGAAACAAACAAAACCTCGGTAAACAATCCAAACAAATCGTCGAGAGAGAGCCTATAATCGTACAACAATTTCACGCGCTTCGAATAAGCTTCAACGTTTTTTTTTACCACGTCTTATTAAATTCCCTTTTCGGTCCTCTAAACGCCCGGCATTCCCGACCAAACGATAAATCCAGCGCTGCAAAGAACAAGCGATTCCATTACGCGATAAGGCGAGATTGATGCCTGCGACCCAACCTCGATGACACAGGTCCAGAATGATTCACTGAACACCACGCTGAAGGCCACACAGTGCATCGAATCGACCAAAAAGTAAAATCAATATTGCAATGATCACACGAACGATCCGCGGGAGAGCGTCGATTAAAATTGCGAGGACCATCTGAGGTTGCAGTAGATGCAGAATGTAAAAAAGGAAGCCTCGAATTCGAGCCTCGAAGCATTCTTGAATATCTGTATATGGGGAAAAATAGTGGGGAATCCTCCATAGAGGATGCCTCGGAGACCGAATTAGATCCGCCCGGTCGGCGTGAGCGAAAAGGGGGCTCATACTCTGATCATTTTCGGTGCCCCCTTGTCGGGCTCTCTCTAAGCATTAGGATCATTAAAAATGGCCGACGCGCTGCGGGCTTCATTTTATTTCGTCGGGCGAACGGGCAGAGATGGATTTTAGGAAGGCTTTGTTCCCATTCGGGTTGTTGGATTTTATTGCTACGGGGCGGGACTGTTTTCGAAATCGATTTTTTCCCGTTTCATACCTGCCTATACTGTGAAGCCTTTTTTTCTGTTGAATAATCTGTTAAGCATCGTTTACTAAGAGGTATCAATTTAGATGGAAACTCCTCGTGCATTTTTTACCCTCTTATATAAGGAGTTTTTCTTTAGTATAGAACGCTGATCATCAATAAATCTACCCTCTATATGGTGATGTATGGTGAATAAAATATGCGATTTTATTCTAGTTTTTTTGTATGTATGTAAAAAATGGTGTGACATGTGTTCGATATTGGTTAAGGGAATTGGAATTTGGTTTCTTATTTTCAGCCTATCTGGTAATTCTTGGGGATAATCGTATGCACCAATTGAGGTATAATTAGATATTAAGAAGGTGAGTTGTTTATGCATTTTCTATATAAATCAATCGCGCAAAACTTTTACCCTTTTCAATCGGTGCCTATAATCGATATATCGGGCGATGCATTAATCCTGACCCGTGCAAAATCCCCAACTCTTTTTCTGCATTGTCATCGACATCAATCGCCCACTGGAGCCCGGAGACTGCACACCTGGTCTCCATATCCCCGAACACAATAAACCTTTCTATATATCTTATTGTATCTTCGGCTCGAAATATTTTTCGATTGCATTTCAACTTTCAATCCCGACAGATCGTTTATACATTATAACACATACGCTTTAAAATGTACCTACCTACATACCATCGTATACACCTTTGTTTGGATTGACTTGGATTATTTTTATTAGCCACAAACAAAACGATTTAATTCAAATATTTAGATGATTATAATAATAATAATTGATTGATTATTTCGAATTTATTCGCTTATTCGCATCATCATGGCTAAATTATCGATGAAAACATCCCGTTTGTAAACCTCGTTCGGGGATCGTTAACGAAGGAAAAAACGCATTATTGGGCGATTTTTTCGCGTTCGCTTTTCCTCGTTTCGTCTGGAAGGAAGCTTTTTTAATGTTTTTCCAATTAGATGCCGTTCGGACGCGTACGGGAAATTCAATTATAAATAATTGCTGAAATCTCGAAGCGAATGAAGTGAACTTAAACTGGTCGCTGTTAAGAGGAATTTTAATTTCGAGGGAAACGGATAAGGGAATAATTGAATTGTGTATAGGAGGAGAATTCGACTGCAATCGAAGGAATAAGAGTGTAGAAAATGCAGGAAAAAATGTACTAGAAAATTATGAAGAATGGAAGTGTATGATAAAGTTTTCCTATGTTATATAAAAATTTTTTCCTTCCGTTTCTTATCTTCTATTGGCTCATTTAATCCGAAAAAAATATAGGAAACCGACACTATTAATCTTCTTAGAACCGCCAAAAATCGATACCTCCTCAATCTATATTAATCCCCGTATAGTCCCTCGCACCCTCCATTGTCTCAGGCCTCATACCAGCCTCCAATGGTGGAGTAAATATTTATTCGAAGGGATATACACACATCGAAAGGCTAAGCAGTAAAAGGATAACAGTAATAAAATTGGGAAAGTTCTCGGACGAAAACTGTTGCATCCTCGGGCCCGAAACAGAGGGAAAAAAAAACCGCCGTAAATAATATTACTTACGCCCTTAATCCTAATCCCGTTTCGGACTATTCTTGACGTCGTTATACGCGGGGAAAGTTCGACGCCCGTCCCGGCGGAGTTTTCCTTTTCCCGCCTGCTATTTATTGCTCGTCTTATAATTCGAACACAAATGACGTCGCGACGCCGAGACGGACGGACGTCGGACGTTAAATTCCCGGCACGTATCCCCGCGAAAACCTGCTCTATGCATGTAAATTAGCAATCTTTCGAAAAATATACTTGGAAAAAAATATGCAAGAAGAAGTCTCCAGCGGATACGCCGGATATAATGTTCATATTGATTGGATTCGGTATTGAAATTGGGGAATATTGTCCCGGGGTTTCTTATAAACTTTGATTAGTTACCGCCGTTCAATTTTTGCAATATAAAATATACAGGGTGCGTTAAAAAATATACTCAATTAAGAGATTTAGGTAAAAAACTTTAGGTATTGGAGGTATTCGTTTATACACTGTGTTATTTATAAGATGCGACATAGGGATTCCTGTACAAATGTGTCAAAAGCAAGCTAACTTTTTTACCAAATAACGTTCATAAAAAATAATAACAGATTTGAAAAGATCGTAAAAAAATAAGTCGAAATGGACATTACATTTTCTTAAATTCGCTCTGGTTTATTAAAAAATTGTATAATTAAGTTGAAAAAGTCATCCGTCATAAATAATTCCTTTTTATAACACTATCTAATTTTTTGCAAAAGGGGTGGAGCTAACAGAGATGGTTAACGCTCTGCAATTTGAATAATTAATATTTAAGTAATGTGGTTCAAACCGCGCTTGGGGCAAAGTTTTTTTTTGTTTTTTTTTTTCGTTTTTTTTAATGTTTTTGTCTAAAAAATGTTAAATAAAAGTATTTAAAATAAGACAAGCTTATTTGAGATTTAGTTTTATTTTTATTTAAATAAAAGCTCCGACAATTAATTGTCAATTTTGATAATGCAAAATCTCGTTAGTAAGTAGAGCCTTTAAATAAATGCCATATTTTTATTAATGACAAAAAAACATTAAAAAAACAAAAATACCAAAAAAAAACAGAAAAAAATTTCCGCACTCGCGGTTTGAACCACAATCCTTCACCTCGAAATGTTCAAATTTCAGAGCGTCAACCAACCCTGTTAGCTCCGCCCCTTTTTACATTAATTAGATAGTGTTATAAAAAGGAATTATTTATGTCGTATGACTTTTTCAACTTAATTATACATTTTTTTAATAAACCAGAATGAATTTAAGAAAATTTAATGTCCATTTTGACTTATTTTTTTACGATCTTTTCAAATCTGTTATTATTTTTTATGAACGTTATTTGGTAAAAAAGTTAGCTTGCTTTTGACACATTTGTACAGGAATCCCTATGTCGCATCTTATAAATAACACAGTGTATATAAGTTCCCGGTATAGGAAAACACCACCGTCATTGTTTTTATATGCCAGTTCGAGTCACATATTTCAGATGCACGCGACATCAATTAAATACAAAAAGCCCGATTTTCGCCGCAATTTAATTAAACCCTTCTCTCTTCTACTCCGAAATCCTTAAGTAAGTCATCTCGATGCCTTCAAAACTGGCTCCGGAGAACTCTCGACAATGGCCAAAGAAAACTAGACGATGTCCTGCCATCCAGCACCGGACTCGGACCGAGAATTCCCTCTAATTTCCATATATAAAGCACTAGTTTTAAAAACTATCTTCTACTGTGTATCTATACAACAAGAGATTGTTCTGCGTAAATAGATTTTCCTATATATGCTGGGAAACTTGTTTTAATGCATGAAAGAGGATTAATTCAAATGCAAGCGAGCCGGTTCTGGCCTGGTTTGTTTCCCTCCCTCCTCGACTGGCTCGACGCCCGATGACCAGAACAATAAAAAACCCCAGGTAGTCGAAAGCCATCATGACTAGACGATCCTCGAAATGACATATGGCACCGCAGGCGTTCCTTTTTTTTTTTCCTTTTTTTCGAGCCCCGGCGTTTTCGAATGGTGGCTTCGACAGTGGACGAAAATGTACACATTTAAGGAAAAAACTGCGGCGGGGATTCTGTCTTTAAAAACTATCAAAAATGGAGCCGGATTCTGGACGAAGAATTTTGAGGAAACAGTCGAGATAGAAATTTTGAGAGATGTAGAGAAGGTAGAAGGGAAACTATATATAATGATTAGCACTAGAGCAAAGCTCATTATCATTACCCGAGGTTACTAATTGGTTATGGAATCAAATATGTCTTTAAAAGTATCGAAAAATGGAGCTGAGTGTATTGGCTTCAAGCAATTTGTTTAATTTAGAAATTTCTGGAGCGAGAATTTTGATTGGAACCTTAGTAGATTTTTTCCAGTGAGCTTTTAATAGGTGAAAACGTTCAAAAAAATCTTTACATCAAAATAAAATTATCATCCATGCAATAAACCAGGAAGTATTAGAAATCAGCATATTGGTTAAATGTTCCCCTGGTCGGTTGTATGTTCGAAAGCGGTATTTATTTGCACATTTCGCGCAATGGCTGTTGGCCGAAATTCAAAATTATGGGTAAATTTGGGCGCTATCATTGCTCTCTAATGGAGCGGAAATTAAAAAATAATACCGGACAACATTCAAAGTCCGCGCAACTGGAAAATTGGGAGCGATAAATAAAGAAACACGTGGAAATCACGAAATGCT